TTTTCGGATAAGTTGCTAACTCAGGAGCCAGGAAAGCTAGAAAGCTGAAATTTTAAGGGGGTGTTTCCTGTCAGTTCTGGCGACCAGTCTTAATTTGTTTAGCTGGAATCATTTGCCGGAAAAGTCGTGTCGGTAGCGACAAAAACTGCGGGGAAGCATGCAAAAAACGCATCTTCGCACGGCAGCCCGTGCGTTGGCCAGTTATTTTTCTGTGCTAATTTAGTTGTTTTCTTTGGGAGGGGCAATACTTTTTGGTGGGGTGCTTAGATTCGTTTCCAGAATTTCGACTTTCGTAACTGCTTAGACGCTAGTTTGTCAAAATTTTACAGTATAAGTACCGATATGAATGCAATGATTCACAAAAGAAACTGAAAAACGGAGCATTACTGGGAAATTGGATGTTGTTAAAAAATTTTATCAGCGTGTCAGAGGGAAATTAGGAAAACTTTCAAATTCTTGTTAGAAAATGCGCACCAGGTGGATTGGAGAATGGCTTATCCATATACGTTTTTCAAGCGAATAATTAGCAGGATAATTTGCACATGATTTGCTTCGATGCGTCCCGAATTACCGTCAAAAATCAAAACCCACTCCGTATTTGCTTTTTTGTAAGAGCCGGAGGGACTCGAAAATGATCCGATGATGAATAGCACGTTCCAACAGCAACCATTTGCTGGCAAGTTTGCCGACAACTCCATTTTTTGAAATCTGCTTACAAGCAAGCTGATGGTGTTTTGATTTCCTGGCAAGCATCATCTGTGTCAGTTTATAACTGAAACAAAAGAACGAGCTGTAGAGGGACTGGCTGTGCCGCTGGCGGAGTTCCTTAACCTTTAAGCACACTACTGAGCAATGCCCGCCACAAGTGCCTTGCAACATTTGGTCTTGGAACTACCTGTCTGTGTTGGAATTACGTTTATGTGCAGATCTGAATTTCCTTTGTTTAAGAAATGGCTCACTGAAATAATCGGAATTTTTGTCAGCTTTTTATGCTTAAACAACATAAACTACGAGCAAAATGATTCGCAAAAGTGTAAATTCACAGCCGCTGAAGATTAGCGATTGCTTCTCTGATTAGATTGTGTGTGGAGGATGTTAGAGTGAAAAATATAACGAAATT